AAATGTGGGCATCTCGTAGTGAGCTTATCCGGCACCATGACACATTTGGCGTGCAGCAAGTTCTTTGCTTGTTCCTCAAGGTCCAAGTCAAAAATCTTGATGCCTTCGTCCCTTTGGTCGAGGTGCCGGTCTGGCATCACAGTGGGTAGTTGCGGTCATCCCTCGGACGTGCCGAGGCATCCAGTGTGACCCGTTCCGCACGGAAGGTTGTGGCGCTAGGTGAAGCCTTCACGGGCATATCCTTAGCACGAAGGGGGCAAGTTCCCAATCATCCGGAAGTGCACTATGGGCGGTTCATCATGGTCGAAGCCAAGGCGCGGCCGTGTTTGACGCGATCAGCAACGTCTCTCCAGTCGCCTCGTCCCTCGGAAAAGTGTGCTCTGTTGAGGTGCCGGCCTGGCCTCACAGTGCCGAGATGGGTAGTTGTGCGCATCCCTCGGACGCGCCGAGGCTTCTAGTGTGACCCGTTCGGCACGGAAGGATGTGGGTCTACGCGTTCCCTTCAGTGGCATATCCGTAGCACTGAGGGGCAAGTTCCCAAACATCCGGAAGTGCACTCTGGGCGGTTCAACGCGGTCGAAGCCAAGGCAAGGCCATGGTTGAAGCAATCAGCAACGTCTCTCCAGTCGCCTCGTCCCTCGGAAAAGTGTTCTCTGTTGAGGTGCCGGCCTGGCCTCACAGTGCGGAGATGGGTGGTTGTGCGCATCCCTTGGACGCGCCGATGCTTCTAGTGTGACCCGTTCGGCACGGAAGGATGTGGGTCTACGCGTTCCCTTCAGTGGCATATCCGTAGCACTGAGGGGCAAGTTCCCAAACATCCGGAAGTGCACTCTGGGCGGTTCAGCACGGTCGAAGCCGAGGCAAGGCCAAGGTTGAAGCAATCAGCAACGTCTCTCCAGTCGCCTCGTCCCTCGGAAATGTGTGCTCTGTTGAGGTGCCGGCCCGGCCTCACAGTGTCGAGATGGGTAGTTGTGGGCATCCCTCGGACGTGCCGAGGCTTCTCGTGTGGACCGTTCTGCACGGAAGGATGTGGCGCTAGGTGTTGCCTTAATGGGCATAGCCGTAGCACGAAGGGGCAAGTGTCCAAGCATCCGGAAGTGCACTTTTGGCGGTTGAACATGGTTGAGGCCATGGCGCGGTAGTGGTTGAGGCCATCAGCATCGTCTCTGCAGTCGCCTCGTCCCTCGGAAATGTGTGCTCTGTTGAGGTGCCGGCCTGGCCTCACAGTGCCGAGATGGGTAGTTGTGGGCATCCCTCGGACGTGCCGAGGCTTCTCGTGTGACCCGTTCTGCACGGAAGGATGTGGCGCTAGGTGTTGCTCTAATGGGCATGGCCGTAGCACGAAGGGGCAAGTTTCCAAGCATCCGGAAGTGCACTTTTGGCGGTTGAACATGGTTGAGGCCATGGCGCGTTTGTGGTTGAGGCCATCAGCAACGTGTCCCCTGTTGCCTGTCCCTCGGAAAAGTGTGCGCTGTTGAGGTGCCTGCCTGGCCTCACAGTGCCGAGATGGGTTGTTGCGGATACCTCGGAATTGTCGTGTGTTCATGTGTGGCCTGATCTGCACGGATGGTTTTGGTAATATCTTCAGGCACGAAGGGTCAAGTTCCCAAGCATCCGGAAGTGCACCCTGGGCGGTTCAACACGGTTGGAGCCATGGGGCGGTCGTGGTCGAATCAATCAACAATGTTTCTCCTGTCGCCTTGTCCCTCGGGAAAGTGTTCTGTTGAGGTGCCGGCCTGGCCTCACAGTGCAGAGTTGGTTTGTTGCGGGGATCCCTCGGAATTGTCGTGGCTTCTACTGTGGCCCGTTCTGCACGGAAGGTTGTGGTGCTCGGTGAACCCTTCATGGGCGTAGCCGCAGCACCATGGGTCAAGTTCCCAATCATCCGGAAGTGCACCCTGGGCTGTTCAACACGGTTGGAGCCATGGGGCGGACGTGGTCGAATCAATCAGCAATGTTTCTCCTGTCGCCTTGTCCCTCGGAAAAGTGTTCTGTCGAGGTGCCGGCCTGGCCTCACAGTGCAGGGTTGGTTTGTTGCGGGGATCCCTCGGAATTGTCGTTGCTTCTACCGAGGCCCGTTGTTCACGGAAGGTTGTGGTGCTCGGTGAAC